GATTAAACAGGATTAGGCAACTTCATATCCTCCAGTTCCCTTTTACCACAACTGCCATAATCTGTACATTGGCTTTGTTGGCTGGGGCTTATGGAAGTAGCCACCAGAAATGCCTAGAAATATATCTTTGAAGATTCTCAGTCATCCAGGTGAGATTCTCTGGAAGTTGAGTCATGGCAACTGGACTTCTTTCTTACTAGGTCGAAACATTTTGCTACTCATCCAAATAGAATGAAGAAGCTACTTGGATCAGTAGCAGAACATTGTAACCTAATAAAAAAGCAGTCCAATTGCCATGACTAAACTTCCAGAAAATGCCTAGAAAGTATTGAGTTCCCAGCTGGTGGACTGAAAGATGCTTAGGTAGAATGTAGGTACCTCAGGAAGGCAGTATATTCCAATGTCCATTCTAGAGGAGATAATAATTAAACAAAATAAAAGTTTCCATTAATAGTATGAAATAATAGCTGAATCCTGCTATGCAGTTACACAAATGGCGTAACTTTTAGAAGCCAATTGTCATTAGTTAAGAAATCTGCATAGACATTATCTGTTGCATACTGAGTTGGGTTCAAAAGAGCACTGAAGACCTGGCTCTTCCACCAGGCTTTCCCAGAGCACTAGAATCTCTCCCTCCCTTTTTACCATTCTTTTTACCATCCTCTCCATCACCCTTTTTGCCACGTTTATTGCCATCTGTTTTAATTTCCCTATTTGTTATGTATTAATTTTTTTATCATGTTTTCAATATTATGCCTTACATTGTTGTTCGCAGCCCAGAGTGGCCTGATTGCCAAATAATAAATAAATTTTTGCACTTGGCGTGCAAAAGATAACGCATATGGGAATTTCTCCACTTGCGGCAATTTGTGTTTTAAAGTTATGCCATTTGCATAACTGTGCAACAGGATTTCGGCCAGTGTTGAGTAATAATGAATGTTGTTCAAAAAGATGGATATGAAATTTCTCCTATTCTGTGGCTCACTATTCTATTGAAAGCAACATGATGCTTTTCTCTCATTCCACCACAGTCTGTGTTCTCAAGCCCTGCACTGCAGTGAAAACCTATACTGTATAGCCTTTTTAACCAGAGAGTTTAGAAGAACAAGACCTCAAGAGAGACCTCTAGAGAGTTTAAAAGAACAAGACTCCCATCTACACGGGGGTCCCAAAAAGTCTATAACTTCTTAGAATTTTCAGCATTCTTTTCTGTTCTTAAAGAAGTTGTTTGGCTCATGTGCTCAAGATCATGGCATGCAAACTCCTTTGAGTCTTTGAGACTGCAGCCGAATGGGCTTCCCGAAAAGGGATGTAGCCCTGCTGGAACCTAGCCTCACCCGGAGGAAAGTGGACAAGCAGAGGAAGGAGCAGAATCTGACAAGGAAACCTCAAACAATAAAGGGAGGAGAAATATTCTGAAATTGTCTGATCCCAAACAGTTTTCCTAAGGGACACGATGTCTTTCTTTTTTCTCCCCCTGCAGCTCAGTGACACAAATCTTGAAATAAACAGGCTTGTTTACAGCTTGACACCCTCACATAAGTTTCATGGTATGACGTGATTTTTGTCTTTCCCAAAGTTATGGTGAGAAACCCAGAGATTTGAAATAATTAGTTGCAAAAAATTAGATACATGTAATTTAATTATTTTTCCCAGTAATGAAAGCACAACTATGTTACATTGCGTGATAACAATAAAAACATCACTTCTTCTGTGGCATAACTAACTTTCTGAGCTGCTTTTAGAGTTACAGGGTTCAGTCTCAACTCAGGGGTGGAACAGGATTGTTATGTGGTTCAAGCAGTGGTTGGGGCTGTGTCTTCTATTGCTGTTTTACCCTCTGTTGTGGATTTTGAGGTGAGGATTAGGTAGAAAGGAAGAGGCCAACCACTTCAATAGTTTTTTTTTTAAAGCAACTCCTTAAGTTACTTTTGGGAAATGTCATAGTAAACATTAATTCTTAAAAGATTAAGAGCTGCTAATCCTTTTTGAGGGCCTCTGAACTAGAACTGTAACAGAAACAGTTTTGAAAAATCCCATTGCAAGGTATGGGGAAACTTCTGGTTTGCTGGTCAGCTGCAACAGACTTCAGGCTATGCAAGGAGTGGAATTGTCCCCAATCAAGCTACACTTTCTTCATCCTGATAGATAAGTGCCCTTTTTTTTTGAAAACAAGTCCTTTTTATTGTGCACAGATACTTTCACACTCTAACCATTCAAACGAAGTAGGGAAAAGCCGTAAAGAGGGGATTGAAAGAAACTTGGCTAGTTACAATACACAGCATAGGTTGAGTTTTTGTTGTTGTTTAGTTGTTTAGTCATGTCTGACTCTTCGTGACCCCATGGACCAGAGCATGCCAGGCCCTCCTGTCTTCCATTGCCTTCCGGAGCTGGGCCAAATTCATGTTGGTAGCTTCGATGACACTGTCTAACCATCTCGTCCCCTGTCGTCCCCTTCTCCTTCTGCCTTCACACTTTCCCAACATCAGTGTCTTTTCTAGGGAGTCTTCTCTTCTCATGAGATGGCCAAAGTATTGGAGCCTCAGGTTCAGGATCTGACCTTCCAGTGAGCAGATTTCTAAAAATCTGTCCTTTTTCTTGAGTAATCTAGAATGTTTAGCGTGTTTTGGGATTTGTAGAATAATACTAATAATAGGTTATTTGTGTAGGTTAGTGGGCAGCTAGTCAGGTATTTGTCCCACTGCTTGTGCCTTGTTTCTCACTGTTGCTTTTGATATTTATTCCATTAACTACACAATGCTGGACTAGATCCACCCTCTGATCTCTTCCCACTCTGTGACTCAGTGGATCGAATGGATTTGAGCCCCAACACATAATAAAACGTTTGTATTTATTACTTTAAATGTTTTCTGAAAAGAGTATTAGTAGCAGGGTTAAAGGGGACATGGTGGCGCTGTGGGCTAAACCGCAGAAGCCTTTGTATGCTGCAAGGTGAGAAGACCAGCAGTCATAAGATTGAATCCACTTGATGGAGTGAGCTCCTGTTGCTTGTCCCAGCTCCTCCCAACCTAGCAGTTCGAAAGCATGTGAAAATGCGAGTAGATAAATAGGTACCACCTCAGTGTGAAGGTAACAGCATTCTGTGTCTAGTTGCGCTGGCCACATGACCACGGAAACTGCCTTCGGACAAACGCTGACTCTATGGCTTGGAAACGGGGATGAGCACCACGCCCTAGAGTTGAACACGACTGGACAAAAATTGTCAAGGGGAACCTTTACCTCTACCTAGCAGGGTTAGCCTCATTTTTTGTTTTGTTTTGTTCTTGTTTCACCAGTCAAAATATGCCAGATCCTCTCTGAGAAATGTAATATGCTATATAGCTATATAGCAATGTTTCCCAACCTTGGCTGCCCAGATGTTTTTGTACTAAAACTCCCAGAAACCTTCACCACTGGCTTTGATGGCCAGGACTTCTGGGAGTTGTAGTGCAAGAACATCTGGAGACCCAAGGTTGGGAAGCACTACCCTATAGGGAGGGTGAGCAACCTGTAGCCATCCAGATGTTATCAGCAGAACTGGTGGTATGGAATGACAGCAGTTGCAGGCCAACAAACTCTGGAGGGCTGCACGCTCTACAGTTTTGACTATAGCCCCCAGATCCCCAACCACCATAGTAACTAGTCATGAGCATAGTAACTAGTCATGCATTTATCAGGCCATTGATACCTCCCTAGACATTGGTGTTGATGGTTGTGGTTGTTGCCTTCCTGGATTTGCAAAAGTGGAACCGAGGAAAGATTTGTCAAGATTTGGTAGATCCCTTAATAAATGGCTGAGCCGTTGGGTGGGTTTCATCCCAGGTTAAGGACCTTTCTACTGAATCAGGTCATAAGCCTTTCTTTCCCAGAGAGGTCAACTAGATGTTTTTTGAAAGACCACAAGTCAAACATGACATGATTACAATAGATATTTTCCACTGATTTATGTATGGTGGTGCTGTTAAAGATACTATTAAAGGTGAATGTCCTGAGCACACCTTGGAAGTAACTTGTTAGAAATAAATAATAAACTGGCTGAAATCCACTATCAGCCAACACCATCAGCCTTACACAACATTGCAGGATTTCAGTCTTTTGTGATGCAACTGTAACTGATTTTGATCCTACTTATGGATACAGGGGAGTGTGGCTTGTAAACTGGTCTGGAGGATAGTGGCTTCTACCAGTGGTCCAGAACCTTTTCCCAACTGCGGAACTTTGGGGGAGGGTGGAATGCTCACACGGTTCATGTCGCTGTCGCAGGGGGTGTCACTCTTGCAGGGTGGCATGTCGTGCTCGTGCGCATCCATGCAGGGGGCGTCATGCTTGTGGGGGTGTGTCATGCTTGCGCTTGCACACATGTGCACAGTATGCTTATGGGGATGGGGTGTGCTCACGCGCATGCCGGGGCATGCTCGCGGGGGGCAGGAGATCTGTGTCTGCGGCCCGGTCCTGCCTAGGCTGCGGACCACTGCCTGCTCATGGACTTGGGGTTGGGGACCTCCGGCTGATAGCATTCTTACCCTTTTTAAAGTAACTACAATGAACATGTTTAGATATTCTTGAATAACAAGAAAGCCAAGATTTTCTTTTGGAAATTATAACATTATTAGCTATTGTATTCTTGAAGGGCTTTCACACCCGGAATCCAATGGTTGTTGTAATTTTTCAGGCTGTTTGGCTGTGTTCTGGAAGTTTTTCTTCCTATCATTTTGCCAGTCTCTGTGGCCAGCATTTTCAGAGGATAGGAGTTAGAACTCTTGTCTGTCAAAATATTACCTATTATTTAAATATTACATTTACATATACTCCACCTTTCCACTACAAGGTAGTGCTGAAGGTGACTCACAAATATGGTAATTGTTTTTGCACCTTGTAACTATAACTAATTATTTTTAAATCTCCTTTCTAAAGTAATATTTTATTATCAACTCCACCTTTCTTAAAGTAATGGAGGAGCTTGCTAATACAGAATTTCCTGTTCTTTTTTCCTTTTCCAGATCTTACAAAACCACCACTAGCACCAAAACCAAAGATTTTAAGTCATCTTGCTTCCTTCGCTGCTTCCAAATTTCCTCCATCACTGTCAAGGGCTGGTACACTTCACAATACGAACTCTATGTCCAGGGGTCCAAAGCCACCTATTGCTCCCAAGCCAAAAATCTCCACTGACAACGATCCTGTGATTGTTCAGAGATCCTGTGTTCATGCCAACAATACCTTTAACAAATGTACCAATGGAAAACTGGAAGGAGAAGGTTATGAAGGAAGCCTGTGCAACAGTAAGGAATGCTCAGAAACAGAAGTTGCCGATGAATATATTGTAATTCCTGACACTGAGCTAAGTACTGAAGAATATGATGACTTTGACCATGACCAGGGGTCACCAGAGAAGGAGAGTTTACCCACCCCTGAAGGAACAGGTGAAGAAATGGATAAATGCACTGACAACAATGAGATCGGTCAGCTTGAAATAAATGTATTGGAAGCCCATGAGACGGAACCAGACGAAGACAGCGCAACTGCACCAAACACAAGCCAATCTCTTGGCTGCCCTGAAGCACCTGAAGACGAGAAGGACGTGTCAAAGGGTGCAAATGAAAAAGTAGACTGCGAAAGGGATCCCATTGAGACCAAAATGAACAGGGCAGATGAAACTGATGAAACACTCCAAGAATCGGGTTTGGTAAAGGACAATTATGACTATAATATGGACAATAAGATTTTGAATGGGGATGAGGCTTTGAAAGACACTATGTGTGAAGATATTATTTTAAGGCCTTTAGAAGACTCAATGCCAGACTCAGAAGGTCTGCTGTTAACTGGTGCAGATCAAGGAGAGGAAGAGGAGGGGCAGAAGCAGCCGCTCAGTGCTGATCCAGAAATGGACCCAACACATGATGATGGAAATGAATCATCCCTCAATATAGAGAGGGAATCTACAGAAGATGTTTGTGCATGTTCTGATGAAAAGTGTGGTGATGATTCAGAAGAAGCAGGCATTGAATTAGAACTCAAGGGACCTGATTCTGATTCCGAAGGGACTTCGGGGAACACCATGAGTGAAGGTGATGCTGGAGATGATGAGGAAACAGGCCAAAATGCTGATCCCGTAGCAAGTATAGAACAAGAAGAAAACATAGACAGTGGTTATCAAACCACTGAGAAGAAGAGTGTGGAGGAAACACCAGAACCAGTGGGTGATATAAAGGAGGATGCCAAGGAACAAAATGAAAGAGTAGATACAGAGACTGTGGATGATAATTGCCAGATCATTCCCTTTGAAAAAGAATGCAGTGAAGATGATCCCAATTCTTCTGAAGATCTAGGTGAAGATTTGCTCTCTGAAGGGACTGAAATGCCTGATGGTAACAGTTCCCCTAATGTTCAAGAAGTGGATGGTCTTGAATCCGACTCAGAGTGTGTAGAGGGAACTAAGCTGGATAGTGTACTGAGGGATCACACTGAAGCTGAATGTGGTTTGGAAGACCTCCAGTCAGATAACCAAATGCTTGAAGTTGATCACAATAGTAGTGAAGAAAATACCCCAAATGCACTCAAAGAAACTTTGTCAGAAGTTCCCTGGCACTCCTCAGAAGAAGGGGACAAGTGCCACAACGGCCACACTGAAGAAAACACAGGCCGTGAATATGTGACTGAGGAAGATTTGGTGGTCCCTGAAGTGGTCATTGTTCCTGAGAATGATGAAGAAACGGCCACTGACTCTCTAGACGATCCCTATGTGTTAGGAGACTATTTGCCTTCCACCAATGAAACCATTTGTGCTGGAAAGCAAGTAGGGGTGGCTGAGGTCCAAGGCAGCCCCGACAGTTTCAGAGAGGGAGGGAGTACGGACAGTGAGAACCACTTGCTGCCCATTGATCGGAAAAGCATAGTTACTAGAACAAGATCCCTCTCTGGAAAAGTACCGGGCTATGTGCCAGAAACAGTTCCAGAAGAAACAGGCCCAGACAGTGAACTGCAGTCTTCACCCACAACCTCTGCCATAACTGAAGATGTAAGCCATAGTTTCTCTGTGTCAGAAGGAAAGCCCATGGAACTGAACAGAGCACTGCCGGCAAAGCCAAGGCGCTTTGTTTTATATCCTCGATCTTATTCAGTAGAAGGTAGAGATATGCCTGTCTCTGTATATAGAGAAACGGATACCTCTATATTGGATTACAATAAAATAAACAGGACAGAAGACCTCTCTTTGCCCTGTGTAATTGGTTCCTCGGGTAGCTTTTCCCAGAGAACTCACCTTCCATCCAGTGGGGTCTCCACCCCCTCTTCAGTTGTTGACATTCCACCTCCTTTTGAACTGGCCTGTATCACCAAAAAGCCCATCACAAAAAGTTCACCTTCGCTTTTAATAGAGACTGAATCTCCTGATAAGTATTGCAAGAAAAAGAAATCCTCTTTTAAAAAGTTCCTCACTTTGAAGTTCAAGAAGAAGACGGAAAATAAAGTCCATGTGGATGTTCACATTTCTTCTTCGAGATCCTCTTCCGAATCTAGTTACCATGGACCTTCCAGAGTTGTGGAACTGGACAGAAGGAGTTTAAGTAGTTCTCCCCAGCTCTTATCACGGACTGGCAAGCTGAGGGCTTCCGAGTCGCCAACTGTTCTCTTCTACAAGGACGGCAAGAGAAAAGGGACACCCAAGACTTTTAGCAGGAGTGTGTCGAGAGTGGAGTCTTTTGAGGACCGTTCAAGGCCCCCTTTCATGCCTCTTCCTTTAACTAAGCCTAGGTCTATTTCGTTTCCTAACGCTGATACTTCTGACTATGAGAATATACCAGCAATGAACTCTGATTATGAAAATATCCAGATTCCCCCGCGGAGGCCGACCAGGGCAGGAACCTTTACTGAATTTTTTGAAGATCCTAGCAGGGCATTATCTGCTGCAAATGAGAATGATGGCTATGTGGATATGAGCAGTTTTACAGCCTTTGAGAACAATAAGCAGCAACCTACCAACCAGGAAACAGAAAGGTATTGTAAGATATGTTTATGTGAGGCGTGCTAGCCTTGAGCGGAGAGGCTAGACATCCTGCCTATAGGGAGCTGTAGGAATATTCTCAGCTTGTTCACATTTTCAGGAAATGCTTTCTACAAAATGTTTGGAAGTGTGTAAGAAGGGGCGGGGGAGGGAAAGAGAGAAATACTCGGAAGTTTAAATATACCCTGGATTATTTTAAAGGTTTATGGATGAAAATAACAATAGCATAGCTTCATGTGCAGTAGGGTGGGGGATCGGTGATTGTTGTTGCAGAATCTGCAGAGGTTTTGAACAACTCCCACCATCCGTTACCATCAGCCATATTATGTAGAATTTCTGGGAGCTGAAGTATAAAACACCTGGAGGCCTAGGCTTCGCTACCATGAGATACAGGATGAACTGGTAAATTAAAGTTTAAGCAACTTGTTTTAAGAAACTCCACTTCTACAGAGATCAGATTGAACTGGGCTTGCTTATTTTCACTCTGGCCAGTTGCCATTTTGTGTTGTCATTTGATTATGCGCTATCATTTGTGGCTTGTGGCTCTCTCGTGTATGTTCCAATGAAATTGATGAGCACTCCAGGGCAAAACCTGCCTCTTCGCTCCCATACTGCACTCAGCACTTCCTGCTATCGTACCATTGTTCTTGTGTGTTCCTCTAGGGGTCATCGTCAGTGCTGGTTCCCGCAAGTAAAATAAGCAATCCATAGTATAGACTTTCTCCCCAGACTCAACCATTATGAACTGTGTAAAGTTCATTATCGGTATCAAAGCCCTTCATAATCAATGTTTGGGAGAGATCTGAATGAATTTCAAAAAGCGTTAGAAGCTCTATGGTCTGGGACATCAATACAGTTATCTTCTTTCTGATCATTTAGAAAGTGAGAAAGCGGGGGGGGGAGTCGGATCTAATCTTCAGTTACAGTGGGACCATTCCCTTGAGCTGAGATTTTTGTCTTCTTGCAACATTCCATTTTACCTTTTGTGTGTTTGTGTGTGTGTGTTATAAATCTGTCTACGGAAGAAAACTTGTATGACAAGTTTAAAACTGGTCTAATAAGAAACAAGTTTGTCTCAAATTGGAAACAGCAAGCAATGTGGATACTAAGTAGTTATTTCTTAGCCTAACATGGGCTGTCCAATTTAATTATTATATCTGTTGTATCTGATGATTTATACAATCAAACACATACAGTAAACGCTTTCAAAACATTTCTAATGGAACTGTCACTCCAGTCTGTCTTTGTTGTGTGCTGCTTTAGTTTGATGCTTTAGTTAACAGAACATTCATTATTGAGTGCGGCTCGATTGGAATGCTTCAGTAAACAGACAAAATAAAGGACTGAAAGATGTAATAAGCTTATAATTTATAGAAAATAGACAAAGTATGTCTGAGAAATGCTTAGATCTGGGCCTGTGCTGCCTCCAAAATTTAAAACTCTCAGATCCAGAATTTTAGCAAAGTTTTCGTATGTTTTGTCCAGAACTTGGAATTGTTTCCTTTTAGAGGACAACTCCAAAGGCCCATGCTGGTGGTGGATTCTGCAACTTGACTCCAAAAAGAGTAACTTTATCAACGTCATGCTTGGGATGGGGATTTTATGAAAGAAACAGTTGTACCAATCACACACTTTAAATTCTCTTGTCAGCCAATGTGCCATCCTATTCTATATCTTCCTTTTAGGATATTCTGTGATGGATTTGTGTATAAAGACCTTTTTACCTTTAAAAGACTATCTTTTGTAATATACTTTGCAAGGGTTTCTGTCTGGGCACTTCTGTTTCAATACATTTCTCACTAGTATTGTGGCTTTTTGTTGTTGCTGTCAGGTGAAGTACAATCCCATTTCAGACTATTTGTCATGGATAGAAATTAAAATATTAAAGTACACAAATTGCTGTGAGACACACATTGTGAACTTCCCATGGAAATGTGGAGCTGTCAAGGGAAAGCCAATCAAAATTGGTTCAGGAACTTTCAACATGCGATTCGTGGTTGTTGCTATGTTGGGGGGGGGACTGGAAAGCAGCTTGTTTTTCTTTCAGTACCTGTAACTTTTTCTTTTCTTTCTTCTTCTTGGTCTATAACTCCCAGAATCACCCCAGCTAGCATAGCCACCAGTTGGGGGATTTTGGGAGTTGTGATTCAAAAAAATCACTCTGTTTTTTAATCTAGTAAACAGAAGCATAAACATTAAAAAGCCCAGCTTGATAACAGCGAATGAGAAGTTTAAAAGTTATGGCTTACTATAAGGGAAGCACTGCTGCTTTTAATACTTCATACCAAGGGCATCCAGATGTTGTCAAGACCTGGCACATTACATCATCATGTAGCATCATTCAGACATTATGTTGAGTGGCGCGGGTGGGGGTGGAGGTAAAGGGAAACAGTGAATGGCTGCCAACAGCCAGTAAGAATGGCTTGCCTTGTCCTCACTACTATGAAATCTAAAAGCTCTCAAGGAAAAGGTTTCAGGACAAAATCACGAACAAAGGCATGTCTCAGAGTTCTTGCTTGACATTTGTATAGCACAAAGGTGGGCATCACCTGTTGCCTGTCACTAGTGTCTTTTTCAATTGTACTATCAAGTTGTAATGACCACAACCACTCTTGAAGGCTGTCCCTTCAGATATTTGAACATCAACTCTAAGAAGCCCTTGCCAACATGGCTAAGGGTGAAGGACTGTATAAGTTCTAGTAGAAGACTTTTGGAGGGCCAGGGGTTCCCCAAATCTACTGTAAGAGATGTCATTCATTTGGGCCTACTCTCGAGATATACCTTTGGCGGAAAGGATGTGAAGTTATTTTCACCAGTTCTCCTTCACCTTGCAACTTCCTCTGCCTTTTGAAAAAATCTCATTCAGAGTGTTGGGGGACACTCTGGAGCAGCATTAGAAACTGTATTGGGGCCTTCAAGGCAGAGAGAGTATTAATAAAGATGACTCCCCTTCCTTTCAACCAGAAGCATTCTCTGTTGGATGAGAAGCCTTCCTTTAACATAAAGAGTCTTTCCAGGATCCAGGCTAATATTGGCGTTCCCCCATGTTACAAATGGTAGAGCCAAGGCCAAAAGCAACTGGCTTTGCTACAGCCATTGAGTCAGCTGATAACAGAGGCAAGATCTGAACATGGGTTTCCTAGTTTTCTATTGTTTCCCTTAACCACTTTGCTACTGTGCAGGGACAGGATACTAACTGTAGTCCTCACTGTGATGGTTCTTCTGTATTAAGTTCCAGTGATCAAAATTTAAGATATTATCTCAAATTAGAACACAGGGCTCAATCAGGCAAGCATTTGTTCCACTGTTGGGTGTGCTGTGGCGATGGATTGGTTTGCTCTTTTTTTCTAGCTAGCACACCATGTAAGTGTGTGTGATCACTGGGAAAAAACTAGAATCAAGCATTGCAGCTGTCAAGGCTCCTTCTGGTGTCAATTTCTGGTATCGTGAATAGGCTTAATAAATGACCCACTTCAGATACTGTATTGGCAAACTGAACTGTGGCTCTGGGCAGTTTCCCGACTGGCACTACACATTAAGCAAAGAAAAAAATACTTTAAAATTTAATCTAAACTCGTGAATAGGCTTAATAAATGACCCACTTCAGATACTGTATTGGCAAACTGAACTGTGGCTCTGGGCAGTTTCCCGACTGGCACTACACATTAAGCAAAGAAAAAAATACTTTAAAATTTAATCTAAACAATACAGTGTACCAGCAATGATCTAGCAGAGGCTAAAATTATAAGAATTTCACTTTCCTTTCCCCTCCACAGAGGAACAGAGGAAGTGTTTGATTTGCCAATATCCTGAAGCCTCCACAGAGGAGCAGAAGAAGTGTTTGATTTGCCAATATCCTAAAGTGGCTTATTTAGCTACTCCACAATATCTGAAATAGGGTCATTTGGCATGCCATTTGGACATGAGGATCACACCAGATGGCACATTGCTTCTCCTCCCAGACTGCAAGCAACTCCGTTTCGACTGCCCTCAAGGAGTCTTCTCTTCTCATGAGATAAACTGCCTTAGCCCACACCTGGAGTAGGAATTGGCAATGCCCCTCCAGTATCTTTCCCAAGAACGCCCCATGATCAGAAACAATAGATTGCCCTAGCCCACACCAAAAACTTCAGTGCAATTGCATCCACAATTTAGAATCAGAGGGTGGATATAACAAGTTATAAATAACAATATTTACCTCTAAGGGGCTTTTTCATTATTATTTTGATAGGGACAGTACAATGAACTTACTTTCCAAAAGTGATATAACAAGTTGAATGATGTTACTTGATTGGCTAAAATGTTGTTGCCTTAATTTATGCTCCGTAAGGTAGATGATGCCATCAGCTGTGGTGATTTTTCAGAAATTAAACTTTTCTGAGATCTCTCTTGAACTCCCAGAAGCTGCTGTGCAAGCCCTTTCATCATTAGGACCTCATGGAGGCCAAGAGATGGGAGGGGGGAGCCCTTAATTACTGAAGATCACTGCTGTTGGCAAAGTCATCCCAGTAGTGGATTCCAGTAATTAAAGCCTGTGTAGATACTTTTTTTTTCTTGCCCATGTACTGGTCTGGATAATGGTTTAAGTTGCTTTATGATGCCTTATTCAGGATCAGTTCAGTTATGACTGCTTCTCAAAATAATAAAATTGGAAGTGAGCCTCATTCCAGCATCTTTTCAAAAATGTACTGTACAAATACATGAAGTGAATGGTTGCCAAGTGCCCCCTGACAGAAAAGTCAATGTGTACATTGACTGTTTTGTTGACATAAGGGCAAAACTCTTGACACTGGGTGACTTTGACTGGCTTGCTTGCAGGAGAGGAGCCTTCCATGTGCAAAAACAAAACAACAACAAAACCTTATTCCTTGTTGTGATGGTTGTATCTGTCATATTTTCCTTATTAGTTTCTTTATAAACTTGACTAAATCTAATTAAATTTACAGAGAAAGAATCCAATAAGGAAATACGGTAGATACAATCGTTCCTTAAA